TAGAAAAAGACAACATTATTAAAATGGTTGAAATTTAGGCTATCATATTTCGATATTGTTATTGAAAAACGAAAGTTTGGACTGTCCTATCTTTTCATTCTGTAACATTCGTTGTTTCGTTGGAAACAAAATACGACTTCCAATGTTTGCGAGAAACTGTTATCTAATCAAGATGACAATAATTTCCACAACAAAATTTTAGAAAATGAAAACCATTTAATTTTGATTGCCTCATCACATTAATAATACACGTGTATGTAATTCGTTACCGCAATATGAAATTGAACACGTTGATTTTGTTCATGAATTTTACAGTAGTAGTTCATGCAAACTGTAGGAAGTTTTTGTTATAAATATGAAATCGAAATATAATCTCTACTCAAATCATCAATATCATTTTCGATAATTGAAGGTAAACAGATGGAAAATTATTCATAATTGTAAAACAATACCTGGCAACTAAAGGCATTTATAAGGCTCATTACACATAAACAAACAGACTGTATACGTGATATGTAACGAAACAGAACGTTTGAACACACGTAAATTCTTTACCGACCGTGCAAAGGCTGTATAGCCAGTCAAGGTAGTTAAAAACTTCCATTTGTTGTAACACACGCACAGCTTTCCAAGAGAGGGAAAACATTTATAATGTTAATGTCTTTGAAGTGGAACAAAATGTTTCGCTTTACCGTTTCGATAGTTTTTCTTTGTGTGTGGACATTTAGTGAAATAGTCGTTATCGAAAAACAAAAAGATACAATATATAGTGGCCACATGCTGTTTGAGGTAGCAATACCGATGTGGTCATTGTGTGCCCAGTTTTGCTCAAGAGTGCAAGTATGCAAATCTATAAACTTTATAGCATGGAATAAAACTTGTCAGATAAATGATGCTGAACCTGTTGGAAATAAGTGTGGACTCCTTGAGAGTGTTGGAAATAGCTTTGTAGCGGCTTCGTCTCTTCCAAAGGTATATACAATACAATATTTGTTAAACACTATTATAATGTCAAAATGTTCACTCGTTATTAATAGTTTTAGTGATACTATACACATCACTACTCCAGATATATTTTGAATGAGCCTATTATTTGTAATAATAGATACATCTTTCTATTACTTAGAAGGCAACTTTCCATAAGTTGTATAGGTATTTTGTATGTTTCTTACTTCTGGAAATTATTTTTCTACACGCTGATGTCGAATAAAACAGAAAAACATATTTTACTCAAGAAAATTAAGGTTAAAAACGTATACCTCATTATATTTGCTTTTATCTATGTCTAGCAATCAATGTCACCATTCAAATCGGCTGTGCTTAAAGTTGATTGCTGTTATTATTAGTTGACTATTTGGTGTGACTGAAGTTTTACTAGCAATGATTACTCATGTTCTGTAACACCTTACACTGTTTTAAGCATAAAGACATTGTGTTCGTTCATTCGACACCATTTACAAACCACTTTCCCTAAAATGACATCAAGCTTATGATTTGTTACGCCAGACGCGCGTTTCATCTACACGAAAATCAAACCCCTTTCTGGCCCCGTAGGAAACGAATTTATCTGTACCAGCAAAATTCAAAACTATATTGTGATCGTCGCATTACTAAAACTGAGGTCGAGACTTCATCAGTTGACGTTAAATTTTTTTTAGCTGTTCTGTGATGTTGTTTTTTCTTCAAATTTTAAATATTCAATCTGTTTGAAAGAAGTCACATTTCAACATTTGAATCTCTAAATTGTATTTGCTCTGAGATGTTTGCTATTTTGCAGCTGTTTCATACCATTCATGTGCATGTACTTGTAATCAATGCACAGTTAGTCGTTTCTCTGGTAGAAACGGTGTAACATTGCTTTTCACTTGGAACGAAAAAAATATTTGATGTTTGCTCGTTATACTAGCAATTCTTATATGTAAAAGGCAAGCATGACAAGTAACATAGCTTAATATAACAACCGTCTAAGTATCACAATTCAATTCATTGAAAGTTTCCTCAAATACATTCATCCAGGAAGAAAATGGAGGCAGATTGCACAATTATTTTCATTGTTTTTTTGTTATATAGCTCCCAATTAAGGTTATATTAAGATTATATACTTGGAGAAGAATAACTAAACTAAAAATAAGCTTGATTAATGTAAAAAGTAAAATAACAAAAATACCGAACTCCGAGGAAAATTCTAAACGGAAAGTCCCTAAGCAAATGGCAAAATCAAAAGCTCAAACACCTCAAACGAATGGATAACAACTGTCATATTCTTGACTTGGTACAGGCATTTTCTTATGTAGAAAATGGTAGATTAAACATGGTTTCATAGCTAGTTAAACCTCTCACTTGTATGACAGTCGCATAAAATTCCATTATATTGACAACGATGAGTGAACAAAACAAACATACATAATAGGCAAAAATGTAAACAATAGGTGTACAGCAGTCAACATTGTGTTATAATCTTAATCACTACACAAACAAGCAAATATGCCAACAAATACAAACAAAAAGGCATATAGAAAAAGCACATTAGCAAAAACGAAAGACAAGAATACAAAAATTTACCATAGCACAACAACGCAATAACGGGATGTACAAGTACCGAGCCACGTCAAATGGATACTGCCAAAAATAGGCTAAACAGTAAAAGTAATAAATTACAAAGACAAATTAAGGAAAACTATAACACGTTATTAAGATGATAAACAACGTCAGTACCTATAATCTATACTTCAAGACCACCGTGTATTATTCGTGAAGTTGATACGGAATATTTATCAACAAGGTCTTGGTATCTTCCGATGGACTTTTTCAGAAAAAGGACGAGACGTTCTTTGACATACCCTTGGTTCATCAACTTTCTGCTCAGACACTGGTGATGTTTTACAAAGTCTGAGTAGCAGCTGCAAGCTCTTGAATACCGAATGAGTTGGGAAATGTATATCCCATATGCAGATGAAGTTGGTATATTGCTACTAAGGTGGGGGAAATTGATAATTTCAAAATTAAAATCGTCTCGTTTGTCATAGATTCTGGTACTGAGATAACCACTTATGTCAAATTTGAGGTATAAGTCTAAAAATGAGGCAGAGGAAGCCGTGTCTGTTGTTTCTTTAAATTCTAGTTCTGAAGGATATATTAATGGAACCCAATCAGAAAAGTGTGGATTGTTAATGAAAAGTACATCATCAATATATCTGGATGTGAAATTAAATAATCTGACTTCTTTGATCCTCTTCTTTTTGACAAGTGTCTGAGGGAACTCCGACTCATATGAAAATAAGAAGAGGTCGGCAAGTAGAGGCGCACAGTTCGTTTCCATAGGAATGCCGACAATTTGTTGAAAAAGTCTACCTCCAAATTCAACAAATATGTTGTCAATAAGAAACTCCAGCATACTGATCACTTGCTCCTCTGTGTAGCATGTATTACCTTTTTGTTCACTATTAACAAAATATGCCGTTTGGTATCCCAAAGTAATGAATTTATAGCGTATGCTACCATTTGTATGTTGAAAAGCATTGTGGATTATTTCTTTTAAACGATGTTTAAATTTCACATGGGGAATGGTGGTATACAGGGTTGAAAAATCAAAAGTTTTGATAGAACTAATTTCAGAGAAAGATCAAGATTTAAATTTATCCAGAAGTTCTTTAGAGTTTTTTAGAATCCACATATTGTTAATACCACTACGCGAGTAAACAGTTTAACAGTATTTCTGAAGACCCTCTTTCACTGCGGACAGAATCTTTGTCAATGTATGTTCATGAAAAAGATTTTTTTTTTGTTTAAGTCTAATATTATAGTCAATATAAAAATAAGGAGATGTGGTATACTTGTTAATGAACCAACTCTCCCCCAGAGACCAAATGTCGTTGAAGTTTAAAACTATAGGTCAAGGTACGGCCTTGAATAACGAGCAAAACCCATACCGCATAATACGCTATAAAAGGTCCGAACGGACAAACATAGAACCATTGAAACGAAAAAAATAACGACCGTATTGATGTACAGCACAATTAGCGCAAAACAAATATAACACACCGCAAACGATAACCACTGAATTACAGGCCCCTGACTTATGTGTCAAACAGTCAGTTCACGCTTTAAAATTTGAAGATAACATTTGCAATACTTCTGCAATGAAACATTATTTGGTATCTGAATGGATTTGAATCCATGCAAAAAGAGTGGTTCTTTATTTTGCTGTTTGAAACTGCTAAATTTAGCAATGAATAATATGAGATAATTAAATATGGCACTACCTCCTTTTGATGAGGTACTTTGCAACTCTAGCTTTTTTATTTACTATAAGGGTCATTACTATTTTGTGTCTAACTAATATTTTGTGCACAGAAGGATGATATCAAGTTTACATTCAAAATATTAGGTTGAGGAAGGACTTACAGCATATAGCTCCTCAAGCGTTAATGTGTTTATAATTCTTAGCTTTCAAATGGTGGATTTCAGCGTTCCTTGTGAAGATAAATCCAAAAAATTGATAGGGGCGCACACAATTTATAAACTGTTATAGTTATATTAAAAAGAAGAAAATATAAAATAATCTAATGATCAGTTCTTCTTATCAAATTCATATAGAATAAACATAATGTCATTAGTGATAATATCTGTTAAAGGTCGAATTAAAAGTTTAAACGGAAAATGGGATTATCAGCGTTTTTTTAATAGCATTAACAGAGTTGGTGACATTATCAACATACATGCATGTCATATTGCTATATACTCGTACAAGAAATACCTTTTATGTTTCGACCAACCAAAAATGTACTGTTTAGCGTCGAAGATATAGACATTTTTTCTTCATAAAAACCGTTCCAGCGAAAAAGAAATCTTCTTAAAAACATGAGTGCATTTCTAATACTACAGAGCCAAGTAAGTTCACAAGCACTAAAACAATAGTAATTTGAGGGAAATTGTAGAAAAACAAGATTGAATATATAAACATTCAATTAATTTTGTAGTATCAATTTCAGGAGCTAGCTGGTCCGTGCAAAGACCATGACTGCAAGGTCAATGAAGTGTGTAGTCCACAAAGTCCGACTTACACATGCGTTCCATTGCTAGTAGTCTTTGCTGAAAGGAGAACCAGTAAGTTTCATATTATATTACCTATGCACAAAAACAAATATATCTGATTATGGGATAATAATTTACCATAATTGCATTTAGTAAGACCTTCTACATCAGCTTTCAACTTTAAAACATTTAGTTTTAATTGTTAATCTTTATCATGTCATCGTTTTTATAAAGTGCTGCTAGTCTCACTATATATTTTACAATACAAATTCTATATTTGATATAAGAAAAACTGATAATGATTGGAACTCTGATCGATTTTTCAATTGAATAAACACTTATTCATCATGCATTATTTGAACAAACATATGGGAGAAACATGATGATACATTGTTTATTAACTTTTTGTTTGACCTTAACTCTAGGAATCGGTCTGATTTTCATGAATGCATACATACATGGTACGAATGAATTTTTGTAATTAACAATATACAAATGAATAACATGCATGCATAATTGATCTTTTCAACAACTACAGATAGAGTGCGGCAATAATAGCACTATGATTGTAAGTTTTCTTTAAATGATATTTTAAAATTTGAATAAAGTATTGTCAGACTATGTGCATTTAGGATTTCTTGTAGATATCAGAATACACTCAACTATAAAATGAGTGTCATATGAATACAACTACACGCCGTTAAACCTGGTCCAACCCTCAATTGTCCTTTGAACAATGTTTGTAAAGGGTCATGACTAATGCAGCTACTCTACAATCTGTTATATCTGATGATCATTTTGAGATACCTCATCCGAAAGAAGGAAAAATATATGTTCGTTACTAAAATATTAAAGGAAATATGGAGATGATTGATATAACTAAATAAAAGAACAAACATTGATATAATGCTTATTCTAAAGTATGTAATGCGATTTTTGTCTCATCAATTATCTGTACCGAGTAAAATGACTTCCATAACGCATGCTATTTAATTCAAACATTATTTATAAAATATAAGATAAATGATACTTTTTGTTCTTCAACAGCCAAATATATTCGAGCTGGATATGCGCAACCCTAGATTCAATGTACAGGAACACATTCATTTATGTGTTGCGAATCAAGTATTTCGTCCATGGCTGTCTCTGTTATTTTTAAATCTTGTAAAACACTATCGGTTTTTATGAAATTCATGTGCATCTTATTAAGGCTCTGGTCAATTAAAAAAATTCCATGCTGTTTTTTAATTTACACGTTATTGCAACGTTATTGCAAGACATACTATGATATATTTTCTTCGTTGAAGACATCACCGAATTGGTCTTATCAGCAAATGAGTTTTACTTGTCCTTAGCCAAACGACAAATGCCAGTAATTGAGCAAGAACTACCTACCCTTCCTGAAGATATGCTTTCATCCCCGATTTAAAATGGGAAGTCGTGTTGCAGTTGTTGTTGACTTTGTGTCTGTCTTTTATCTATGTTATTTTATTTTTTATGTCTTCCTTCTACGTATGGTTATTGATTGATCCATGGTATCCTTTTCCTTTTTTCATAAAGATTTGTTTATATGTGTAATTCGGCGTTGCAGTATATTTTTGAACATATTTATTGCCAACTGGAGGTTTATCCTGGTTATTTGTTTTTGGTATTTATGAATTAATTATTTTTTTGTATATATGAAATTGTACTCGTTACTGTATAGCCTTACGTGCTACGGTGGCGTTAATTAACTATTTATACATCAATTTTAAATGTAAAGTGTCCTAACAATTAATGCTATGATAAGTTAAAAAATTGAAAATCCGGACTACAGTATATTTTTCAAAACTAAACTTATCTCAACACAACTAAAAGAATAATTGAGGATAATGTTACAAGTCTCGTTTTCAGCACAAATGCATTTGCCATGGGCGATATCATGTAACCAGTAATATATGTCAATATAATGGAATTATATGCGACTGTCATACAAGTGAGAGGCTTAGCTAGCTACAAAAACTACGTTTGATCCATCATTTTCTACATAGGAAATGCCTGTTCCAAGTCAGGAATATGACAGTTGTTTTCCATTCGTTTGGGGTGTTTGAACTTTTGATTTTGCTATTTGTTAAGAGACTTTCCGTTTTGAATTTTCATTTGAAATCGGTATTTTTGTTATTTTATATTATACTATTTCAATGTACACCTTATGAAAATTATTATCCAATTAGAAAGGCGTATGGTTTAAAATTTCGCACACTTTTCATTGGTTAGACGGAAAGAGTTCAATTTGATTGACATATGTTCAATCTAGCTCGATGTCACGTGAAATCGATATAACATGTATTCATCAATTTTCCAAGATCATTAACATGTACTAAGATAGATAGTACTCAACCCTAAAACGTAGCGCTGTCAAAATGTAATCAGATAATTAATTTTCAGTATTTGTAAACGCAGTGTAATTATATGTATTGAATATTAATATAGGAGAAGGATGTCTTGTGTCTCAATTCAAGGAAACTGGCCAGAGCACTCCATATGACTGTACAAAAGAGTACGTATGCGAAGCTGGAGCAGGGGTTGACGGAATTAAAGAACTTAAAAACATGTTTCATACAGATAGTGAACGCGAACCTTTCTGGTGGGTCAATCTCGGACATGTGTACAAGATACAGAAGGTGGTCAGTACAAATCGGATAGATGCATATGGTTAGTTAAATTATTATGACATAAGACAGGTGTATGCATATTGATATTAATACACTTTCTTTATAGATTTTGCAAATGAAAAAAAAACTTTCTAAGTAGTTTGCGTCCAACGCGCTTTTCTGAATTAACATTTATCAGGAACACTCCAGCAAAAAAAATGAAAATCGAGAACGTATAACTACACAAATACACTAAGAGCTTAAGACCAACATGAACCTTATAATAATAGCCGAATCCATCTCAAGTCAACTTTTTTTCAGAAGGAGTTTTAACCGTAGATCTTTAATATTTTCTAAATGTATCAATGTTGTTTTACACAAAAAAAAAAACAAAACAAAAAAAAAACAAAAATATGCTATTAATGATGTCAGGATCGAATTACTGACTACTGAGCTAGAATCTGAAAAGTTATATAAATTCAAATTGCAATCTTTTGAATCGTCCCCATGCATATCATATTTATGAACTTGTTTGTGAATTAGTTCTTTTAAGGGATACAGAAAAAGATTTACACAAAAAGGATTAATGTTGATTCCTATTTTTGACAAACATTTTTGTTTCGGATTGAGCAAGTACTTCTGTATACGAAAACATTTAATGACATCCTTTTCATGATTGATAAATACACCAATATTAACTAAGTCAGTAGCTAAAGTCCTTGCCAAGGTGTTAATTGTTCTTTTCAATCATCATTTACAATGGTACGGAATGTGTGATGTTGCATTTTTGTATAGTGATATGTCTGTATTGAAACAGAATATTTTTATTTCAATCAGTACTGTGGATTCATTTATTTTCGTTGGTACCAGTTATCGTGGATTGATGAAAACTTGCTTTTTCGTGGATATTTTTATTTCGTGGTTTTGTCATCTGCATACAAACCTATCGAGAATTTTTTATTCGTTGAACATTTAAATTCGTGGTTCACTTATACCCACGAAATCAACGAAAATTGGAATTCCACGAATAATAATGAATCCACAGTATCAATTATCATTCTTTGTTTTAGGTGGTCGGCTCACAAAAATGCTCATTCATGTCGGCACGAGCTTAGATACATCTCAAATGGAACTATGTGGTCAGTTCATTGGTCCAGCCGTTAGAGGACAGGTCATAGTTACACCGTGCAACACACTATCGGAAGGACACATAGTTAAATTAACGAGTGTAAATACCAAACCAGAGAAGTTTCATCTTGCTGAAGTTGAAGTGTATGGTTTTTAGTAACATTGTTGAATGATTAATATACAATTAATTGTGTTTTCATAAAAGATCATCACGATACTGAATTAGAAATATAAAATTATCAGTGATGCTTGATGTATATAAAATTTTCAGTGATGCTTGATGTATATACAGAATCATAAAAAAAAGGCACCACATTGTGATATCATCAAAACAATCGTGCAATATTAAGACAGTTTATGGTTATGGGTTTGAGTAAACATGCATATAATTATGTAAGAGGCATTTTCTAAATCTAGGCATTTTGTAAAATGCCTGAAAACTTTAGGTATTTTTCAACATGCCTGCTCGATTCAGGCATTTTATATATCGACTATTTTTTAAGGCATTTAACCAAATGCCTGCCAAATTGAAAGGCATGTTACAAAATGTAATTACAAAATGCCTTAATTGTTTTTTTGGATTGACATATTCAACAAAATTAAGCAATTGAAAGTATTGAACAACAGAGCAGTTTCATCTATGATAACTACTGAATTTTAAAGCTTACATTTCACGAGTTTAAAAAATAAAAATAAACTATATTGAGTTATTCCCGCAAGCTCTGAATTCGATAATTATTTGTTTGTTTCGCAGGATTTGTTGCACATTTGTCCAGATTTTTTGGCAAATACATCCCTTGGCCTAAAATATGGTCTGGCAGAACAATCCGGACTTTTTCAGATTTTGAAAACTATTTTCTGATTAAGCACTGGGTTTCGACCAACATTGGGATTTCCAAAAAAAAAAAACACATGCGTGAATATTTCGTTCTCATGTGTTTCCAACAGATTCAAAGTTACAATTAGGTTGATAAGGTTGACTGGCATCTTTTTGCTTATCAGAACATCTAAGGGCATACGATACAGTTACAGGGGAGGTAATGACGTTGCTAAGGTAAAATGTTATTTTCGCGACGTCAAACTGTGACATATCGGGAAAAGATGCATTTTTTGACTGATTTTTATCATTCAAACTAATTTAACTTGAAAACGAGTTCATGGACCCCACTTTTTTAAAATGACATTTTGTTTGATTACGTATGAAGATTATTTGTACCAATTTTCATGAAAAAGTCAACAATGCAACTTTTTAAATTTGATAAATTTACAGCAAAAAATTACGTTTTTTTCTACATCCATGAACATTTGATAAATATGAGTTATTTCAAAAAATAAAATGCATAAATTTATAGGATACTTATATAAAACAGAAACTACAAATAATTTAACAAAAACAGCTTGTGTTTATCTTTTAAAACAAAAGAGTTATGTGTTTCTGTCGAAAGGAAAAATACGTCCACAAATCCGAAATTGGAGCAAATATCTGAAGCTTCGACCTCATTTTACTCAAAAAGTAGCACAGGAAGGTATATTATTTTTTATATATTTGATTTAATCAGGTAAAAAATAGCCTATATTACCCTGTCAATGCACATTTATTTGTCTCTCCTTGGTCGAGTTTCGAGATTTTAATATCTGTTAACTACTGCTGCATCAATTCATCAGATCATCAAGACCCAAGAATTCCCTTGTGGCATTGAAAATGAAGATACTCATATCTTTATATCACATACAAAAAGGACATTGTATGGCAAAACCCATGCTACATATAGCAGGTAATCCATTTCACAGTGCAGAATATATAAATTAGTAGCATTTTTTTTGTTCCTATCCAACATACATTCATTTCAAGCGGTGGTCAACATTACTGTTCTTCATCCGGGTAAATCCATTGCAGATATACGATTTATAATCAATTTATTCTCATAAAAAAGATGTAATACGTATTTAACAAAAATCAGTTAATAAAAAACAGGCTTCTTCTTCTGTGTTCTATATTACGTTCTGTTTTGAATCTAGGTTTTTCTGCAAGTTGAATTGTAAATTTTATTCTATTAAAAGAATATTTGTTATTCCATTGTAAGTCTGCCCTCATTACAAGAAGAACATACATTTATTATCTGAAATACAGAGTGAGTACATACTTAACGCAGTTTCACTGAAAGTGATACAAACTTTCCCAGCTAATCTTTGAAGAATAAATACAAAAAATAATATGTGGTAAGATTGCGAATGAGACAACTATTCACAAGAGACCAAATGACACAGAAATTAACAGCTATAGGTCACCGTACGGCCTTCAACAATGAGCAAAGTCATACCGCATAGTCAGCGATAAAACGTCCCGAAATGACAAAATGTAAAACAATTCAAACGAGAAACTAACGGCCAAATTTATGTACAAAATAATGGAGGAAAAACAAATATATAACACGGCAACAAACGATAACCACTGAATTACAGGCTCTTGACTTGGGACAGGCACAAATAGAATGTGGCGGGGTTTAACATGTTAGTGGGCGCCTAACCCTCCCCCTTATCCTGGAACAATGGTGCAACAGAACAATACAAGAACTGTACAAAACAAAAAACAAACAAGTCATATGATCAACAGCAACAAACAACAACCACTCAATTACAGGGTCCTGACTTGGGACAGGCACATATATAATGTGACGGGGTTACACATGTTAGCGGGCGCCCAACCCTCCCCTAACCCGGGACAGTGGTGTAACAGTACAATATAAAACCAAACTATAAAAATCAGTTGAAAAAGGCTTAACTCATCAGATGGATACAAATAGAAATACATCTAACAAAAAAACAGAGTAGACGTGGCCGGGTACTTGTACATCCCAACAACAAAAAGACACTACGTACAGATCTGAGAGTACTCGCAGTTACTGACTGGTAGTCCAAAGCCAATAACTACTATTAAAAACAGCATGCATATAAGACTAAATTTTACTTATCTATTATTTATTTCATTTGCGAGATATTGTGTTTTTGGTGATTTGCATCTCAATGATAATTTTTTCAACAAATCAACTGAAAATGGACAGACAATGTGTTGAATTGTGTTTCAAAATATGCATAACTTTACAGAGTGACTAGTTATTTTTATTCATTTAATATAATGCTTGTCAAGTTTATCCATTTTATAAATTGCCTGAAATTCAATCATTTTGCAAAATGCCTAAATTTAGAAAATGCCTGTAACATATATATGTTGTCTATAATACGTGAAGCCACAAATATGCAAATTTAGTCAAAATCCTGTTATTTCCAGAAACATTCACATGTAACATATATGTTGTCTAAATGCGTGAAGCCACAAGTATGGAAATATAGCCAGTTATTTCTAGTAAACATTAACTTCTATTTACTGTAAATTCAAACAACATTGTCGTAGTACATGCTCAATGTTCAAGGATATCTTTAATCCAAAACGTAAGAATATGGGTTGTATAGTCATTGGAACACTTGACCAGTAGTGCGCTTTAATAAATGCAACTGTGTTTTACATTTTTGTAGCGAAAATTTTGAATATTTAACGTAACACATATAACGCTTAGACGCATGCAATTTATAAAGTGTAATTTTCAGTTTTTATTGATAGATGGTGTAATTAAACATATATGTCACGTTCAGGAGGAATATTTGCAACAAATACTAGTCTCGAGAAGAAATGTCACTCGCCTAGCGGCGGCTCAGAATATTGGACCCTCTCTTGAATGGTATTTTTTGCAAAAACCCCTCCGTAACATTATACATCTGTTCAAAATAAAAAAAACTTTTGCTTCACCTGTTGCAACATTCTACTTTGGTTACACTCCTTTGTATTTATGGATTGAGCGTGATGTACATACTCCTTCCTGAAAAGCTCACGCATCAGTTGTCTTACACTGCAATATCTAATATTTTACATCAATATGCCAAAACGAACGTCTACGATTTTTTTTGTACGTTCTTATTTGTACTTTAAGCTTTACCACTGATCGATATTTCAATGAGTGGTAAAGATCCCTTAAAACTATTCCATGCGCCAGGAAATTCCTCACTTAATGTTTGTTTTGTGTCGGAACTTTTGTTTGTCCTGTTGGAATTGTGGCAATGATTAAAAATTCTTTATAATTTATTTAATTTCGTTCACAATGTTTGCGTATTTGAGAGGCCGTAGGATGAACACAAGATGTCCTTTGGTGTTTATATTGGTTGATTACATCGCACAATGTGTATTTATGTTGAACCTATATCTCTTTTATTCAATATCTGTTTAGGTGAAACAGTTTAACTATGCATGACTTAAAGTTTTAATTGATTACGGTTTGCTTGATATACAGCGGTAAATATTTCATGCATTTTCGGAACGAAAGCAAATTACTAGTTTATCTAATGGGATTGCTTTGCAAACGTAGATTGAACGGATTTGAAGTGCAAGTAATATCGACTGTCATTTGAAAATGGGGGTATGTTGGTAAATGCAGACAATTTGCCATACCGTATGCCACCTAAAGATCCCCCAAAGAGTTTTTCAAGTGTTTTGGTAACGTGCAAATAGTTTGACCCTCTAGTCTTCCAGAAGCATCTTGTTAAAGGTTTCCATAGCGACCTGTCGTGGTTGTGTATTTTTACTTAGGACGCCCTCGTCTACTGTCTGCCGGGAAATGTCATTGAATGACCATATATATATACCCCATTTACTCCTGGAGGTTATAAAACTAATGAACAAATCTGGTTGGACAATATATAAAAGGTGGTAATAAAAACAGAAATCGAGGAAAACAGACAGAAATTGCAAAAGAGGTAAAAGAAACTAAAACACAAACAATGGTCTACAAAAAACTACTCAGAAAGATTGAGCATCACAAACAATGCCAAAATATCCGGGAGAGAATTCGAGTGCCCCGAAAGTGCGACCAGTGCATTTACACTTAGTGGAAACCGTCGGATAACTATTGGTTAATAATCGGGTATTATCGTAATCGAGGAAAAGGGGACTGGATTGTGGCTATATTCAGAACATAATGTTGCATAATTAGAATGTTGTTCGTTTTTTGTGATTTACTAATTAAAATGTGACTGCACTTAAAAGAGAGGCGAAAGATAC